TCCCACGGGAGTGACACGTTGGTTACAACTGAGGAGTCTACACGGACACCTTATCATCCAAAGTCCACCGTGCACGTCAGGGTTTCCTCCAGATGTGGCCATGCTACTGGACAGATGTGTAATGATATATACTCTGATGGTGTCTATAAACATATGTTGTCAGAGTCGTTTCAGAATCCTAAAAAAAATTTGTGCACTACCTCCCCTCTACCCCTCAGCGATCACTGGTTTTTTCTTGTCCCCATGCTTTTACCTTTTATGGGGTGTCAAATAGTTGGAGTTACATAGTATGCAGCCTTTTGGGGTCGGTTTCCTTCACTTAGTGACACGCACAGGCTGATAGTCACTTCTTCTCGGTGCTGAGTAGTGTTCGTCTGTCTGGACGGACCACAGCGCATTGATCAATGCACCTGGTACAAGACTCTTGGTTGTTTCCATGTTTTGTCAGTTATGAACAAAGCTGCCACAAAAAAAAAAATAAATAAAAAATAAACCACCGTGGGTCGCTTGTTACAAGGACCATTTTCAACTCCTTTGGATAAAATAACGAGTGTGACATTGGAACTTAATGCAGGTTTTGTTTCGATTCGTGAGTGGTTCTCCAGCCTGGCAGCCCGTCCTCACCATCTAGGGAGCATTTTTAAAATACCCATGTCCATCCCCACCCATTAACTGCCATTTAATGCAGACTCCGTGGGACTGAAGCATCCATGTTGAATGCCCCCGAGGGCTACCTGAGGTGGTCCTGAGGGCCACCTGGCGCTGCGAACGAATCACCCACTTGGGGCTGACACCAGATTCCCGAGTCTCTATAGGTTTCTCAGCCCCTCTACCTAGAGACAGAGCCACAGGGAAGCGGTTAAAGGACCACCATTTGCTGTGTTTTGTGATCCATTTCTATTAGTGGTCTTCTTTTGACCAAAAGTCCATGTCATTTTTCTAGAAAGTCTTTCCTATGAAGGTAATGGTGCCCCCTTCTCCTCCCTTTGGTGAACACTGGGTGCCAGGAGGTCTTCTACTGAATCCTAGCATCCCTGGGCCCACCCAGGCTACCGTGGAGGTTTTGGCCATTTACAGCCTACCCCACCTTCTCCCAGGGCAACGTTCTTGGTGCGAAGACCATGGACTGCCTCAGTCCTGGAAGCAGAAGTGGTGAACCCCTCCTTTGCTGTGAGCCCTCGTCCCTGGCCAGGTCCTTACAGCTAACGGAGATTGGAGGCTCGGCCACTCTCCCTAGGGCAGTGGGAGATTGCATGGTGTCTGAGGTGGGGAGGTTTGGGGGGCTCCAGGACAGTAGTTCACACACTTAGGTTAGGCCATCGAAGGCTTGCTACAGTTTGCTTGTGTTCTTCCCTAAAACCCATATGTTGGAAACCAGGTTCACAACGTGGCCACATTGTGGGGTCTGATGGGGGTGAGCGGGCCACGAGGTCTCTGTCCTATGAATGGATCAGTGCCATTACCAGAGGAATGGCCTGTCACTGCAGGAGTGGGTTCCTTAGGAGGATGCGTCCAGCCCCCTTGGCTCTCTGCCTCACCCTCTCCTGCCCTCCTGCTCTCCCACCAAGGGATGAACAAGCAAGAAGGCCCTTGCCGACTGCAGGCTGGTGCAGCCTCTGTGGAAAGCGGTATGGAGATTCCTCGGGAAACTTGGAACGGAACCACATTTGACCCCCTGATCCCACCCCTCGGTTTATACACAGAGAACTTTCAACCAGCATACTACAGTGATGCAGCCACCATCTGTGTGCTACCATAGCAACTCAATTCACAGTAGCCAAACTGGGGAACCAAACTCGGTGCCCTTCAACAGAAGAGTGGGTAAAGAAAATGCGGTATTTATACACAGTGGAATATTACTCAGCCATAAAGAGAAATAAAACTATGGTGTTTGCTGGTAAATGGATGGAGCTGGAGAATATTATGCTAAGCAAAATAAGACAATCCCAAAGAACCAAAGGCCCAATATTTTCTCTGATATGCAGATGCTAATACACACTAAGGTGGGAGCTGGGGAAGAATAGAGGTATTTTGAATTAGAGAGGAGCGAAGGGAGAGGAGGGGGTATGGGGGATAGGAAGGACAGTAGAATGAATCAGACATTATTGCCCTATGGGCATGTATGACCGCACGACCTGTGCAACTCTCCATCATGTACAACCAGAGGAGTGAGCAGTTATACTCCATTGATGCGATGCGGTGTCAAGATGCATTCTATTGTCATGTCTGACTAATTAGAGAAAAGAAAAAAAGGAGCAGAGAAGAAGGAGAAGCCAGTAATAATTGGGAAGGGGACCCTACCAGGTGCCAGCCTCTTGGCATTGAACTTCCCAGCATCCAAAACCGTCAGCAGTAAGTCCTGTTCATTATGAACTGTCCAGTCCGTTACAGCAAGCCAAACAGACCCAGACGACACCTTCCGGTAAATACACGCACCTCAGATAAAGGCCGAGGGACTGTCCTTGACAGTCCTGCCACACAGCCTCCCCATTTTGACAACCTGGCCACTCGGGCACCTCTGAGGAGCTTGGGGGCTTCTAAAGGCCCCTGGCTGAGCTCTTGTTCTGCACAGAGGAGCTGGGGTGTCTGACCTGATAGGGGTGTCTGCTCCAGGAGGCGCTGTGCCAGCTGCTCTGAAGATGGCATTAGGTGTTCCCCACTCCTTGACCCCCCTCCCTCCCCCCTCCCTCCACTGTCCCTCATCCCTCTTCCCCCCCGCCCCCGCAGACATCTTTGCAGCATCTGCATCTAAGGAGAAGGGAGCAAGGCTCCACCAGCACGTGGCAGAACCAGTGTCCCCTCAGGCTCCATCAAAGGGGATGCAGCAGGGGGCAGCAGGACCTGAGCACCTTGGGGGAAGGCCACCGGACCCTTAGGAAAACCAGACAAGGACAGGAGAGAGACACTGGGACCTGGGAACAAAGCCACCATGAAAGCCACCCTTCCGAGTCTGGAACGGTAAGAACTTCAGAGGGAGGAGGGAGACAGCCGTGGGACAGGACCACATGCACCTGGCAGGGGGTGGTCAAGCCCAGCTTTGTCCGAGGTGATGAGACGCAGCCGCCGCCGGTGTCATGAAATATTTATGAATGGGGAGCGAGAGGCGCCTGCTGCAGTGCAGCGGGGAAAGGGAAGGTTCAAGAATCCTGTAACAGCGAACCCTCCATTAATTATCGGAGGCAAGCTGTAACGCAAGTTCCTATGGCAACGGGGTCCCCAATGGATTCTGTGCTTTTTTTTTTTTTTTTTTTAGCTGCTCCCATTTACCGTGGTGCATCGCATTTGTTTTCCACGGGAGGTTTGGTGCCTGTCCCTTGCAAATGCGTCCACCCTGTCCTCACAGTGTGGAGGCCTGGGGAAAGTTAAAGATCATGCAACTTTGAGCTGAGGGCTCGGTAAGGGCCTGGGTGACAGCTGCGAGGGCCTCCACTTCTGGGGGTGGGGGGGAAAAAGGCAGCCAGGGCAGTGCAGGAGGGCTCAAGGGAGTTACTGGAGAGCTGGCCAGCTCCCGGGCCCAGGGCCTTTGCAATCCCAGCTTGCACCAGGGAAGGGCCCTGGGACCCAGCCCGGCTCTCAGTCCTGCTGAAGCTGCAGGTACCTTGCACAGAAGGCTCGACTCTGAGCCCCGTGGGGTACGGGTGTTGGAACACACAGGGGCTTGGCCTCCAGGGGAGTCCCTGCACCTCCCAGAGAAGATTCTCCCGGCTCCACCCTTACACCACTTCCCTCCTGGCCTGAGACCGGGTTTTATTGGCTGGCCCTTGGAAGCAGTTTGTCCAGCTCAGATGTCCATGATTGCCTGGCCCTGTGGACTGCTACTCCAGAGACATTCTGTCCCAGGCCGGGGAGCCACTTGGAGCCACTCTGGGCGTGGTCAGAGAAGTCACCATGGCTCCCTCTGCATGGCTCTGATAACTCCTGGCCAAGCCGTCTGCGGCTCACACAGGGGAGGGAGACCCTGTGCCTTCGCTCTCAGGGCTGCAGCTTGTGGCTTGTGTGTGTGTGTGGGGGGGATGTCCTTGGTGGCCTCAAGAGGTGTCCTGCTAAATGGCACAGGCCGGGCGGACAGTGGACGTCTCTATGTGGCTCTTCCAGCCGGAAGTGGGTTTCCACTGCTCCAGAGGACTCCCTGGGCTCTGCTGAGCTTTCCAAGTGCCAAGGTGACTTCAAGCAGCATTTGTGAGCAGAACTGGGAGGACGCCAGGGAGGGATCAAATCAGATCCCGTGTGCGTGTGTG